ACTAATCATTCACACACACTCACACACTGATGCACAGCATTGTAAGCAATTTGGGGTTCAGTATCTTGATCAAGGATACTTCGACATGCAGTGAGAGGAGCTGGGGATCAATTAGTGGATGACCCTCTCTACCTCTGAGCCACAGCCGCCCCTGAGGTAAAGAGGTAGTTCACTCTGAAATGTGTTTTCTGAGTTGTAAACTGAATTATATGACTTAAATGTATGAAAATCTGCATTTTGTGGGTTAGAAATGTCTCAATATTCCCTCTACTGTTTTAAATCACCCTGAACCTTTAGGTCCAATGCTGACATAGAGTGGATAGTTTGGGACTACCTTACATCATAACATTTCTATAAAAAAACAGTTAATGCCCTCTAATCAGAGGACTCCGACCCACCTTCCCCAGGCTCCACTTTGAGTGGGAGTCTGTGAAACTGCACTAATTTTCTTACTGATTGAGACGCATCATTCACAGTAGTTTATGCTAGCTGTTGCTAACCCTTTACTTAGTTTTTTTTTATTCTGGCGCAGTAGTTCGGACTTGTGCTTCTGACGCTGTAGAAATACCACCGGACTGCAATCTTTACCTTGATCCCACACACTGACAGTCTGACAAGTTTTCAAGGGATTAAAGAACCACAAGACCTAAAACGACAGAAACCATTGTTAGGAAGAATGTATTTATCATGTACTTAAAATTTTCGCCACCAGAGGTGTTTTGGCTTCGGTTTTAGAAAAGCTGTCATGTTGTCCATCTTAAATGTAAACAGCTTATTGGGTAGATATGGGGCACTTTCAACTATAATCAGCTACCAGACTCATGAGGTCCGTTTTGTTTTTAAATACTTCAGTTGCTGCAATTGAACAGCATAGTGGCAAAATGTCAGAAAGAAAATATGAGCACAAAAAACAAAAGCACAATGGCTGAAACAAAAGAGTGACCAAGGTCTAACGTTACAAATTCCTAAATTGTCAGGAATTTTCAAATCTGCTGTATCGTCTTCTGGTTAAGAACAGGACACCAGGCTAATGGTTAATGTTGACGCGGTAGAAACTAGCTGCAGTTAGCCCGAGCCATGACAAAGACACCAAGCTAACAGGTAAGACTGATAAGGAGTCTGACCACATGAAACATCGGTATGTTGTAGTACTAACACCCAGGGAGTCAGCCATTATGTTCCAGCCACCACACCCATGACGGCCTCACCTGTTGCTGCGGAGAGGCTCGCTACCTATAGCTCGGACTCTGCATGCTGGGATAATACAAACACCCAAATAGGTACTTCTCTAAAACCCTGTATAAAAGAAAACTGGCAAATAGTGAAACTATTAACCCTGTGCTCATGTGAATGTTACTTACCACCTACCTAAGCATTGTTACAGACCATGTACACTCTTTCATGAAAACGGTATTCCCTGATGGCAGTGGCCTCTTTCAGCAGGATAATGAGCCACAAAGCAAAAATGGTACAGGAATGGTTTGAGGAACACAACAAGTTCAAGGTGTTGACTTGGCTTCCAAATTCCCTGAAGTTCAATCCAACTGAGCATCTGTGGGATGTGCTAGACAAACAAGTCCAATCCATGGAGGCCTCACCTCACAACTTATAGGACTTAAAGGATCTGCTGCTAATGTGTTGGTGTCAGATACCACAGCACCCCTTCAGAGGTCTAGTGTAGTCCATGCCTCGACAGGTCAGGGCTGTTTTGGCGGCAAAAGGTGGACTTACACAATAATAGGCAGGTGGTCATAATGTTTTGGCTGATCGGTGTATAACGCTTTTCCAGTCTTCTGACAACATGCAGTGAGAGGAGCCAGGGATCGAACCGCAAACTATCTGATTATCGGATGATCCGACCGGGTGGGAATCCTTGTTTTTATAGACTGAGATCCACAATGAGCCAAAACAGACTGAATCACCTGTCCCTGATGTCCATCAAAAGTGAGATTCTGCACAAATAGGATTTTACCAGCCTCATTAAGGACTTCTCTGCTAGAAAAACTGTAGCCTAGGGGCCCATGACTACCTTAATCTGCAACTGCTGGTGTGTTTGTGTGTGACTGATTTAAATCTTGAGTAGAGACTAGATCAATAAAAAGGAATGTGGTGTAAAAGACTGAAGACCAGATTTGGTGGAAAAACAGAGCGGTAGAATTTTGTTATAAGTGATTTGAATTATTTAGAGGGCTAGTTCAACTAAATAAAATAAAAAAACACATTTTCTCACTTACCTCTAGTGGAACAGTACACCTAACCTAAACCTAAACCTAACCAAACTGTGACTGAAAATTGAAGATAACTTTAAAAAACTAAAATGGTAAGTGTAAAACCTTCTCACAGGAGTTGAACCCCAGTCTCCCAGATATAGATCCAATAAATAACCCACTCATCCACCACTGCTTTGCAGCTATAATTGGACATTATTGCTTTTTATGCTACATATAAAGCTTTTTTTAAAATTAACTTCCTGTATGTCACCTGAAAAGCATGGGCACCTGGCCAATTCTAGTGCTTGAATGTTATGCAGGGCGTATCTTAGAGATTTTTGCCTGTCACAACACAAAGGAGGTGAATGGATTTTTGTTTATGGTGCTGGATACCACCAGAGGTAAGTGAGAAAAAACATTTTGTTATCATTTCTTTTCTTTTTTTCTGACCTCCAGTAGTTTAACTTGCTGCTCCAAAGTGTGTCAGTACACTGTGACATCACTGGTGGGTGTGGTTACAGGTGCAATAGAGCACACTTTTGACCACATCCAGCTGAGTGTGGCTAGACAGACTTAAGAGAGGGGGAGAGGGCAGTGAATATGGAAGTCTTAAAATGCCTAAATAAAAATAAATCAAACAGAAACAAAGTTAAATACACATTGTTATAGTGTGTATTATGATCATAATAATCATTATGTCATTATCAAATGGAAAACATGTTAAGCTACCGTCTTTAACAATTGAATGCAGTCGTTCATTTTGGCATGAATTGTTTATGCTACATTAAAATCAAGTGGAGAAGTGTATTACATGTCAGTGTTGTCCAGCAGAGAGCAGTAAAGACCTGTCAATACTAAATGCAAAGCAGTGGCATTAGCTGTCTAATCACAGTCTAGGGGCAGAGCTGAGTGTCACTGACACAAGCTGATACATGCCATACATGAAAAGGAACTACATAAGACGGTATGACACAGTAACGTAACATATTACTGTTCCTAAATTCAGTAATCACATTACAGTTACTAATCAAACAATCATGTCAGCAATCTCCTGGGGGACTTCTTCCTTTAACTACATCACTGAAGTCTGGGTCAGAGATGGGGATCCTAAACAGTTTGCCTACAATATCAGTGAAAATCAACACAGCATCTAATGTGCCCGTAGAGAGGCTCTCAGCCTTGGCAGTCTTGTGCAGATTCCAAGGAAGAACAGGTTACCTGACAGTTTGAGAGACTCCTCCTCATAAGGTAAAACCACTGCTTCAGTGATAAACATGTCAGATAAGCCTGCTACTGTACTGCAATGGTGCAAAGTAACGCAAAAATAATGTAGTGCAAAGTAAAGTTGCTATAAAAAAGTCACAAGTAATGTGTAATACATGACTTATTTTGAGTAACAGCCCCCAACACTGCATATGACAGTGTGTAATTGTATTCACTTTATTTATTTGTTTGATTTGGTTTTATTTAGGCATTGTACATCTTCTATAAGTGACACTGCTTTTCAGCTTTGTGTGAAGTAATACTTTAAATAGATGGTAGCAACTTCATGTATATATTCAGTTCTACTCACCATATAGCCTAGTAGGAACATTTGTTGCTTTAGAGGCTTCAGATAAAACGTGATTGGATGATCATTTTCTGTACTCACCATGGACATCCTCCTCCCACTGGCTGGTGGCGGTGGGGTCATTGGACTCTCTCCCTGGTTGAGGTGCTGGGCTTCGATGTCTGTTCCACTCTGAGAATCGGTGCTGTCAGTGGCCAGCTTGTCTTCCGACATTCCTCGGGACATAAAACTGCACTTCCTGGCTGTGGGGTAATGGTCGCTTTCCGGAGAATCGCTCATGTCACTGAGCTCCTTACAAGCACTCACTCTGCTTTGCTTCCTCTGTGGGTTCCTCAAGGCTGCTGGGATCTCCATGTGGCCGGCCATGAGTGTGGGTCGCGGTCCCGCGTACTGCGGCTGGACCGAGCTGTGAGGTCCATTTGACTCATCGCTGCTGCATGAGGGGTTCTTGTTGTCCAGAGTGTAGCGCCGCTCCACAGCCCCCAGCTGCTGGAGACCCTGGATGTCTGCTTGGCTTGACAGGTACTTCTGTGCAGGCTGCTGGTTGGAGCTGTGGGACCTCTCCGGATTCTGAGGAGCCAAATTCAAAGGCAGGTTCTCCCCGTGAGGATCAGACACAACAGAGCAGGTCATCTGTGTGAGCTGCATCAGTCTTTGTGGTGAGGAGTTAGTGAGCACACAAACCTGCTGCACCATGGAGTTTTTCTTCGACCTGTACACACTGTCATCGTCTCCGTATTTGTATCCATACAAGCTTTGCTTGATCTCCTTAACCCCCAGATGGAAAATCTCCAGGAGGTTGAGGAATAAAGAAACTCCAGCAATAACCAGCATGAAAACCATGAAAATGTTCTTCTCTGTTGGCCTTGACACAAAGCAGTCAACGCTGTTGGGGCATGGCAGCCTCTCACATTTGTACAGAGGAGACAGTCCAATGCCGTACAGGGCACACTGACCTATGATGAAACCCACCTCCACCACAGATCTGGTTAAGATATGGAAAACATATGTGCGCAGCAAAGAGCCTCTAAGGGGAGCTTTCCTTACTTTCCTCTGTTCATCTAGTTTCCTGAGCTCTCGCTCAATTCTCTTATGGTCCTCCTGGACTGGGTCTGTCCCCTCCAACTCAGCTTTAAGGCAGGCTTTCTTTCTGTGCCTCTCCTTCTCAAGGGTCCTCAAACGGTACAATGCGTGGCCCATGTAGACCAGCGAGGGAGAGGACACGAAGATGATCTGTAGGACCCAGTAGCGGATGAGGGAGATGGGGAAAGCCTGGTCGTAGCAGACATTCTTGCAGCCCGGTTGCTCCGTGTTGCAAACAAACTCACTCTGCTCATCATCCCAGACGTCCTCAGCCGCAACGCCGAGCACAAGCATTCGGAAAATGAAGAGGATGGTGAGCCAGATCTTCCCCACGATGGTGGAATGAATGTGGACCTCTTCTAAAATACTCCCTAATAAGTTCCAATCCCCCATCTTCTGTCATATTATTATATCTGTCAATGAATAAATTTGTAGCGGTTTGTACTTTTCATTGAATGGAGAGTAAAAATGCAATAAAAATGGTTTTACTTACAAGTTTTCTAGGGTCCTTGTCTCATGTGCCTCAGCAAAAAGCCATTATAAAAGAGCAGATTGATTTGGGGCGACATCAGGGCTCGTTTGTCGTCCCTTGAAGAGAGACAAGTCCCCACTGTGCAGTGTAGCTGACACTATTTCAATGCTGTTGCAAACTAGGACTCCCGGTTTGAAGCCATTGATCCACCACATGGTGCTATAATGCCCCAAGGTTATTTCATCCCGCGCCTTTTAACAGGACACTACACTGGAAATAGCACCAACTGAGATGTCAATACACAGCCATGCACAATGTGTTCAACTTTCTTGCTTATAAAGTACAAAGCGTGCAATAGTGTGCTTTCAACCTTGTGTCTACAGTTTGTGTTTGTCTCCTGCCAGCTCCATTAAGAAATAGTTTTCCCAGTTTGCTGTGGAAGAACCTGAATGTTCTGCACAGATCCTTGAGCTCAACCCCATCTAACACCTCAACACCTTCAGGATGAACTGAAAAAAACAACTGAGAGCTAGACCGTACCACCCATCTACATCTCAGAGGGAAAAATGTGATGCGTCTGTAAATAAAAACAGCTCATTCTAAGGTAACAAAAACATGTTTCTTATTTTCAGGCGATTATACACTAATGAAAACATAGCTATGAATATTATATTGCATTTCTGACTATAGATCCTCCTCAATGTTACACACTGGACCTTTAAATAGCTCCACATCGAGCAGCCAACAGTAAACAGTTGCTCTGACATTGATGCATTAATCTAATAATGTCAGATAGAATCATAAGTTAGAAAGGACATTTTACTTTCATAATACTGTACTTTTACTTTAGGATTTTGAATGCTGGGATTTTATGCTTTTTCTCTCCTACTCTGTGGAGCTTGCCACAGTATTGTAAATCACAGCACACTCTGCTGGATAAAGTGTTTAGTGACACCAACATATGACTATAGGCATTGTTTTTGTTTTAATATCAGCACATATTGGATAACACATACACCTAGGTATGTGATGATAGAATCTATCATCACATACCTAGGTGTATGTATCAGATAGATGATAGGTCGATATATGTATCAGTTTGGCTCTAATTCTAGCATCAGGTTTATCTCTGTCCTCCACTTCATGTCACTGACTGCTGTGCTACTGAGTTACAAACAGCAGCCCTAGGCACTGACCTCGATTTCCATGCACTTCATGAATATTTGTGTCATGGTGACACAGTATATGGTGCTGCCTCACTGATTATCTTCCGTTAGCACAAACTGGAATAGATATTTTATTCCTCTTTATAATACTTGTATAATTTTGTTAATACACTTATAAAATAGAATAGACACCAGCATAAATAAATAAAACTTTATTTTCAGTAAAGAATTACACACAATATACACAATATTGCATTCCATGCTGTTTATATGCAATAGGATGAGTCAAACAAAAAGCCATTAAGGCCAACAGATCCATTTGTATTAACAGAGATAAATGTCCCGTTCATGAATTGGACATGTAAACATTTTAACAACCTTCCATCAAGCACCCCACACCCCGCCCCCCACCCATATACAAATATATCCATTAAAAGAAGATTCAAATGTCACAAACAAAATTATAATAAAAAGCACAACCTATCAGTCCCATAACTCAAGGTCTACTGATGGGTGATGCTTCAAATTGTTTCCAGTCAGCATCTACTACTTTTAAGAACTAAAATTGTCACTTCATTTAAAAACATTTGAGCGTACTTGCACTAGAAACTGGAATGATCCAGGTCCAAAGGCAGTTTTTCCCCCACTGTTTTGAGAAAAACACAAGTTTAGGACTAGACCTAAGATTAGCTTGAGGACTTGTTGAGAATATCTGCAAAGGCAGAGAAAGCAAAGCCTGTATAGATGCTGCTCTGAGAATGAAGTTATATGCTTTTGTGAGGACCAGACATCAGGAAATATCCAGCACCAAGTAGTGACTGCAGTGTGGATTCTTACAAACCAAAAAGTGCATGAAAAACAATACCAATAACACTGATGTTAACTGTATTTTAAATGGATATTTCATCGTTTACATCAATCTGAATTATTTTTGAACCATATGAAAAGGTACCATTAAATATTCAGAACATAATACCTTCACAGACAGTAACTTAATTTCTGACCTTCCTTTGAGAAACAAAGTTTTGCTAAAACTGCTGCCCATATGTCTACCCAGCTGATGGCTGGAGTACACAGGGCTCCAGATCTTGGTGGAAAGAGTAGCATATATGGGCATTTATTGCGGGACCCACTCAGCCACCTTGCGTTCACATCTTTGTGCACTGTCACATGAATAGCAGCCTACCTACCTGTGTTCGTGCCACAGTATGTGTGTAAATATTCTAATACAAGAGCTATTTGCTTGCACACAAAGTGATCAAGTGTCCATCTTCTCCTGCTTCTTAAAAATCTTCATGAGCTGGTAAAATCTGTGAGCAATCTGAGAAAAGAAAAACGGTATATTATATGTTATTACAGTTATTATATGCTCCTTCACTACAGCTTGCACAGTCATGTGAGAAAAAACATGAACTTACCTGCCCTGATGGCTTATCAAGTTTCTCTGACAAGGCAGAGAAAGTCTCACGTGAGGCACCTTTTGTCTTTAGCTCGACCAGAATTGCACGATCTTCATCTCTGGAAAATGGCAAACCAATGCAAATAATGAGGATGGTTTAACATATATCAGATCTCTTATTTACAAATTCCTGGGGAGGGGGAGTGATTCAACTGAGCACCAACTACTGACCTGGTCCATGATATCACCACCTCGCCCTTCTTCCTGATGACATTCTTGGCATAGAGACTGTTGGGGGACAGAGATGCTGGGGAGGATTTGGATTCACTATCATCTCTCTTGTAGTTAGACACAATCACCTCTTCTGCAATCTCCTCTTCCTCCTTTCTGGGACGCTTGGCTTTTGATTTCTCTTGGTGGTTCTTCCGTTTTCTACCTCTGCCACAATCCCTTTTGTCTTTCTCTGATGTGCTGCAATGGTGAGACTTCTCCTCCCCCTTTGCAACGGTGAGACTTTTCTCTGATTCTGACACCTCCATTTCATCTCCGACACGTGTCAGCAACACTTGTCTTGTTTTTGTTCTGGAGCCTTCGGCAGACTGATGTGGGCTGTTGTCTGAATCAGATAAAATAGCTATTGAGGGACTTTGTTGGGATGTCATGTCTTTTTCTCTGTGGCGTGTTTGACTTGCGCTCACTTCTGCAGTGGCTGTGATTCCTTCTCTGCTGGTTGCCTGGCTGATCTGCCCAAAGGACTGATCAGAGTTTTGAGAATCACCGTGCAAACTGTTATTTGAAAGAGTAGTTTGAGGCAGATTTTTGGGGGACTGTAAATCATGCGAAAAACAAACTTTTGAGGTATTTTGTTGAGTTGACTCATCTTCTTTTTTGTGGGGTGGATCTTTTGTTAGTGTCAAGTTCTCATCTTGAGTGAGATGGGTATCTGCACTGGTTGCAGCCTGACAGATCCCAGACCTTTCAGCAAGGTTGGACTGGTTGTTCACTGAAGGTACAGAATTTGAAGCAGTACTTTTCTGTGACTTGTCTGACAAAACAGCTTTTGCTTGACTTTCTTGACTTGCCACACCACCTTCTCCATGTTGCTGATCTCCCTCCGTTAGTGTTTTACTTAAGCTGTCATCAGCGGTGAGCGTGGTATCTGCGTCTGTGGCTGCCTGACGAATCTTTACAATGAAATGATCGTTGGACTTCTCCATCACTAGTGCCTGCATGAGCAGGTCAGGCTTGAATACGAAGGGCGTGGCAAGCTCTTCTGAGGCCACGCTGCAGCTGGAGTCACAGCTAGAGTTGTCGGTGTCAAGGGCCAGGTGAATGTCCTGTTCTGTAGCATCTTCCCCATCTAGCAGAGCGTCCTCACTTATGTGAGCGCTGATGACGCTGTCTGGAGTGGACATGATGTGCATGCTTGATGGCTGTAGGAAGCTGAGATGGCTGTCTGACTTGAGAGGTGATGGAATGGTGAGGGAGACAGCCAGATCTTCAGCTAGAATGGAATACGACCTCTGTGAAGCCAAGCCGGACTGCAGCATTGCTCTATTCTCTGATGGTACTTCTAACAAGCAACTTTCATCAAAGAAAGCGGGGTTCAGTGGGATTTGATCTTTGGACCGTGGAGACGACATCTTGCGAGGTGAAATGCTAGACCATGTTGCGACAAGTTTGGAGGGAGTCTCGAATTTTAATGGGGAAAGAAGTTTAGATGGAGAGTCAAATTTAGTTGGTGTAGTGATACTGAGCAGTCTCTCTCCGTCCTTCCTTGGTGTACCGAGGGACCAGGCTGTGTTGTCTCCAGCGATGCCGTTGTTTTCTAATAAGTCAGATCCTTGCAGGAGACACTTAAAGATTTCTCCCATTTGAGAGTCTCTCACCAGGTTGAACGTTAAACTGGAGGCTTGCTGTTCTGTTAGTAGCTCAAAGTCTGTTCTGTCAAGCAAAGAGCCATTTTGAGAGACAACCAAAGAAGATATGCTATTTTTCTCTGGAGTTGAAGGAATATTTTTAGGAGGTAGGAAGTCGACCACAGTTTGTGTATTTGGGCAATTTTTTTGATGCTGGTCAACTTTCCTGTCTTTTTCCACATGTGTGATTCTGATATCTTTGCCTCTGCTTCCAAGGCCTGTTTTGTAAGGCACCACAGTGCAAGGCTTGATTCGACGCAGGCTGGTCGGAGCTGACTGTGCCTCCTTTTGTTGACACTGTGGCTTCTTTGCCGAAGGATGTCTAGACACTTTGTTATTTTCACTGGGCCTATTGTCCTCAGCCTGAGCTCTTGTTGGTTTGCAATGGCTCTGCAGTGTCGTGTAAACGTCCCTAAACAAGTACTCAACCTGGACATCCACAAAGTCCCACAACTTTTGTTTCAGATCAACTGCTTGCTGTTCAAAGATGCGTTTCACAATACCATTATTTGATACTTTGTTAAACACAGACACAATCAGTTTCTTCAGCTTGGGTCTCAGCTCGCATTCCTGACTGCATATCTGACCAAAGTTAGCACCATCTACAAATTCTAAAAAAGACTCCTGGAAATTGTCCATTACCCCATAGAAGCTCTTCCTGGGAAAGGTTTTATGAAGCTTCATGTACTTTTTTCGGATCTCAGTTCGAACCAGCTTGAATAACTCCATTACTTCCTCTATGGTGGAAAAAGAAGCTTTGGTTGCTGCGGGACAAACCGTTTTAAAACGACTCTTTGGACTCCGTGTTGATACACCAGCCGTTTCATTTGCTGCAACACACCTTTCTTCGGATGTCCTCTTTAAAACAGTCTTAGGACTTGGTTTATTTCTGACAGGCCGTTCCAGCTTTGCCCTCTTGGTTGCAGGAATGGGAGAACTTGCAGCCATCTCATCACTCTCACTTATAATTTCCCCTTCCTCCAGTTCAGGGTCAGAGAGACTTGAGGCCGGGTCGGATACCTTGTCCACCAAGTTTTGCGCGTCATGGTTTGCAGGAGAACCCGGATATTTGTTTTCTTTGTTTACATCCAACTTCTTTGAGTTAGCATCAACAGCTGTGCTGGAGAACTCTGCACAGGACAGAGAAAAAAAACAAGTTTATATAAACATTTTCTAGGAATTATGATAGCATCTTATAATTACGGTTAAAATGCCTCGGTATTTTGAGCTACCTATCTTGTCAATAATCTGTATCTTATGAGATGCTAAATTTGGAGAACAAGATTTGTAGGCCGGGGTATCTCTTCAGCTGTACAGTACTTCATTATAATGCTGTTTTGTCACACATTTTACCTTTATCAAAAATTTGCATATTGTGATTTCAATAATATTTGAATTAATTGTGCAGCCCTAATATTGCTATTGTTTTTTCGGCCAGGCCAATTCAAACTACCATTAAATATTTGATCTATCAGTATCTGTCCAAATGAAAAATTCTATGTATGCGCGACATACACATACAACCTCAATTTGCCATTATGAGTAGATTAGATTAGATTAGATTAGTAGTTAAATTCTGAACCAGTCTGTCAAGATAATGACTGAATGCAACCTTTATCAAGGGATAAAAATGAGCTCCACAAAAATAATGTCTGCTTAAGAAAAAATTAGAAACTTAACACAAGATAAAATTACTAGCAACTACAACCACTTAATAATCAGGCCAACTTTACCTTTCTGAAGGCTCTTGACGTGGCCTGGCTTGCCATGAACATGGAGATGACTTCTCTTGGTTATCCGTATTGGGCTCCTCAGAGGGCTTATAGCATCAGGGATTCTCTTTAGATTGCTCAGTGTGCGCATCATGGAGTCCTCATCATGGAGCAATGGCCTAGAACTGGAAGGCTCGTGACTCTTTCCAGGACTGAAGCTCTTCTTTGGGGTGAACGTGAGGTCACTGCGCTTCTCTGGCACTGCTGTCTCCTCTGTTGTACTGCTGACTTTGGACACTGCGATACAGCCCGTAGAAGAACTTGGCTCAGTTGTGATGCTACTGCTGTCACTGGCATCTTCATTTGTCTGTGTTAAAATGTAAATAGCCTCGGGAAGACTCAGCCCTTCTTGTGGCAATGATTCCAGGCTTATTGTACTGGATACAGCATCTGTATCTGCAGGACCAGCTTGTGTATGACAAGCATCTTTCTCGTGAATGGAACTGGAAGCAGGAGGACACGGCCCTTGCTTACAGTCCTGAGGTAGGATAGTGGGTGAAATTAGATGACTTTCTGGATTGGCTTTGTCAGAAACATCAAATACAGGACCTTCCCTTGAGGGTGAAGCAGCTGTGTCTTCTTTGACTGGATCCACAGGGAGGCTTTTCTTTACTGCAGTTTTAGAAGCTTTAAACTTCAGTTCTACACTTGAATCAAGCACAACGGATGCAGGAACAGATTGATCAGTACTATTTCCAGAGTTTACCTTTTGTAAAGAATTGCTTGTGTGCAGTTTATAAATGCTTCCAAATGTATCACTGACACCATCTGTAGCCTCCAGAGGTCCACATTCATCTAACCGGCTGTTTGAGGCCAGTTTGGTTTTGTCCTCATTTTTTAAAAGGGTCAACTTTTCATCCGTTGCTTTTTGAGAACTACTCTCTGGGGATTTTGGTGTGAGATGCACAGTCATCTGATTCTCTGCAGTTTTTAGGTGTTGGTAATGGTCTGAGGTAGTTTGGACTGAATAGTCTGCAGGAGTTTCACTCTGGTTTTTATCCCTCTCCTGGACATCTTTCGCATCGTCAGATCTCTTATGCGTCTTTTCTGAATCTGGAGATTTGGTGATATCTGGAGATTGCTCTGCAACATCTTCTAACCCTGCTTCTAATTCACTGCTGTTGACTTCATCAATCACACACATGTCTTCAACGTTAGGTTGCGAACTCTCGTCATCTGTTCTGTTTTCAACGACCTTGTCCACTGGTGTGAGGTCACCATGGTTGGCATTGGTGGGCAACACTGGCTTCTTCATTGGTGAAAGAGTTAGATTCAATGTTTCCATGAAACACAGTTTTCTGTTTGGACTGTTTTCCTCCACAGAGATTTTCTCTGTGATATTTGGTTCTTCGGATGATATTTTTAAGGCATCTTGTGTTTTGTCTTTTCTTTCCTTACTACAGGCATCCCCTCTACCGTGATCTGATTCTTTTGATCTCTGCTTCTCACGTTCTCTGCTTGTCTTTGACAGACTGCTCCTCTCATGCTTTCTGCTGATTTCATCTTCACGTCGTCTATTCTCCTTCCTTTGATAATCCTTTGACAGTTTATCCCCTTCCCTCTCTTTGGAGGAATCACTGTAGCACTCGGCATGTTTGTTTGAAGAAGACTTTTTACTGTCCTTTGAGTTTGACCTTCTGATATGTCCGTCACTAGTTGTGATTTTCCTATGATCTCGGCTGTAGCCCTCCTTAGAGCTGTAAGCTGCACTATGTTCAGAGTCTGATGTGGATATTTTGGCTTTATCTGGTCTCTGTTCTCGACTTCTCCCTTTCTTGTCATCAGAGAAAGCTGCACTATGTAAAATCTCTGGTGGAGGGCTTTTGGCCCTCTCTGATCTGTGGTGGCCCTCATCATTTGCGTAGTTTCTGCTTTTACAAGACCTGGAGTCATACCTTCGTCCTTTGTCTCTGTCTGCTTTGTGAGACCTGTTTTTCTCAGGACCATTACAGTCCTTGTTGGGATCTGAACAAGTTCTATGTCTCCTATCTGTTGATTCAGATAGTTTTTGACTTTGACATTTTTCCTCTCTGTGCTTGGACTTGTGTTTGTGTGATTCACTATGTCGGGTTGATGAACAGCTGCTGGATTTGCTAATGGAGTGCTCAGTCAGTTTATCAGTTAGATCACAACTTGAGGAACTTTTTGAATGATTGTGGGAGGATGCTTTTGAAGCTCTTGTCACACAAGATCCACTGGACTGATAGGTGGAACTATTGCTTTCCTTCACAGAAGGTTGAGGAGGTTCCCTTGGAGTACGATCCTCCCTGGGATGTGTGGCTAGTTGAGGTGGAAGAGGGGGAGGAAGACTGGAGGGCAGCGGAGGACCGGAGGGTGGTAGAGGACCAGAGGGTGGTAGAGGACCAGAAGGTAGTAGAGGATGAGGAGGACCGGAGGGTAGTGGAGGAGGCCTACTTTTGGAGCTGCCTGTGGTGGTCCCCCTGGACAAATTTTGATCCCTCACATTATTGATGTGAGATTGATGATGATGATGGAGACCTTTCTCTGAACTGGGAAAAACATTTATTTTTTTTATTTTTACAATTGATTAAGAATTGTTTAACATAGATGCAATCAGTTGAGTTGTTATGTAAACAACAAACTATTTGTCCTAATTTACCTGCCAAAATTATCTTTTACAATTCCAACTTGGAGTTGTTAGATTAATGTGTTATGGAATATTTCATACATTCATTAACTTATAGCCCTTTTAATGTAGCTTGTGTTAAAGTGAGTCAACAGTTCTTTTTAAACAATACTTACAGTTGGTTCAGTCTCTGAATCTCAGCATCTTTTCGTGTCACCTCCTGTCTAGCTGTCCGTAACAGTGCGGAGATGTTCTTTTTAAGACGGCAGTTCTCAGTGTTTAACCCTGTGTTCTGTTTCAATAAAGAGAAAGAGAGAGAGAGCACACACACCATGTTAGTGCTGTTCAGCTTTTAGTGTAGGTGCATTTTGACAGCCATTTTTACTGGAATAGCCACATTTCCTCATCCACCTATTCCAGGATCAGTTCAAGTTGGTGCCTAATACTGACTGATATATTGATTCAATTTTATTTGTACAGCGCCAATTCATAACAAAAGTTATCTCAGGCTAATTCCAGGCTTAATAATAATGAAGCAATAATGTTCACCTTTTTCAACATCTGAAAAATAACAAAAAAACAACAAACCTGTATCTCCATCTGCTCCAGTCTCCTACGCAACTCTTTAATTTGGTTTTGAGCTGCTTGGAATCTGGACTTCAACTACAAACAAATAAAGAAAAAGAGGACTGTGAGATAGTTGGCACACTGACAGACAGCTTTTTATTAGATAATCTCTCTATGTGTGTGTTCACTTCGTACTTGACAATTCACACCAGACTGTTATTCAGAGGGAAATCTATGGTAGCAGCTTTTCACCCCTGTCCTGGGTCTGCAGGTCACTACTAGGTCTTTACTGAACCAAACAATTGGTTTAGTAGTCACGTGTGTTGACTCAGCAGGGGTCTTTATTCAGAGGGCAACATTTGCACCCTTCCATTTGTTAATGCAGAATTGATCTTAACATCAATCTCTCCCTCATATACAACCACTTGTGAAATATGAAGCTACCAAGTAGAGCCTGTTACAATTATTTTGTATTCAGAATCAGAATCAGAAATACTTTAATAATCCCAGGGGGAAATTATTTTCCCACAATAGTATTGTGTAACAACCTTTGATCTACATTCCCATTTAAGCACCTTTAAAATAAAAACGTCTGAACACAGCAGCTCACCTCCAAGTATGCTAACTCTCTGCTCTGCTGTTCCTCTGTGAAAATTTCTTCATAAAGATCCATAGACTCTTTCGGCTGAGAATCATTTGAAGATGACTTCTCTGTAATAAAACAAAACAAGACAAAAAACAAGATAAATTATAAAATCTGAATTTTGGAAAAAGAAATCTGTTCTGGACAATTTCCCCTGCATTCAATTCAAATACAATTATATTATGAGTAGTAATAATATTCTGCTGTAGCAGTCCAAAGTGAAACTATTTCAAAAAGGACTTTTACCTGCATTGCTGCTAGAGTTGATATCCAGGCCATCATATATATCCACAGAATCTTCATTGACATCAGAGACCAAGACTGTGGATATTGTAAATGTATTACAAATGTACGTCATCAGTTCTACAGCTATAATCTCCAAAATCACTCCCACATTTATTTCCCACGTAGTGCTATAGCTAGTGCAATTTTGGGTACTATATAGTGCATTATTTCACTCTTAGAATTAAGAAAATAAAATAAAATTGCAGAAATTAAATATAGTGCACTGAATAGCAAAGAAGGGCTTATTTTAGGTACAGTATATGTAAAAAAAAATGTCTAGGTCCATATTGAAAAAAATAAAAATCTATAGATTTATTGGTAGAAAATTACAGGTTTTTAAATATTTACAATAGAATTTAAATGTTTTTTTCTAAGATGAATTTCTGATAGTCAAACCAATACTGGGGCCACTGATAAAGACAGCTTCAATATCTTTCATATGCTAAAATGGCTTCATTACAAACCAGAACTGCCCATAATACACTATATAATAATCTAAATGTAACAGTGTATGTAATAGTCTTATACTTACGACCAGAAGCATCAAATGTGTCAATGTCCTCCATTATTCCAAGTGTTTACTGTGGTTCAGTTTCTCAAGGAGTTCCTGACAACAATGCCAAAGGAAAATCAATAGTTATTACTAGTCTACAGATATCAGAGAGAACACACTTTATAGACAGTGAAGATGAACCTTTAACACCTGGCTGATGGCAAGACCCCAATCAATAACTTTAAATCCACAATTGATCCTAGAGCTGACAAATCTTTAAGGGGCTATTCCACCAATCTAGCTTATAGAAAGGTCAGTTATTAGTTCTACTGAGCCCATAAAATGTTGTATAATATCTTATGTTGCTTATATTTTGAGAGTGACTGTGTTTTTAACAGAAAAGTTTGGTTGTAAATTAGAGTTGTGGAGATGTCAGCAGGTCAGGTAGAAAAATAAGCTACTGGTTCCTTCATATGAGGAAAGGATCCAGTGGTTTTGAATTGAGTCATTTCTTAAGGAAAATGTACTATTATCTGGTTTCTTTAGTCCTCTATGACAGCAGACTGATTAAATTAGGTCCTCTGAGATTTATTTTCCCCTTGGCTTGGGCTGCATGATATGGTAAAAAATGATTATTAAGATTCATTTTGACTGAAAAAAATATTAAAATGATGATATTTTTGGGGGTCTGTAGCAAACAAACAGGTTTTCTTAAATCTGGAGATAAAAAATTGTAGACTAGGGCACCTCTGCACTACTACAGTACTTTATTATAATGCTGTCACAAATATTACCTTCATCAAAACCTTACATTATTGTGATTTCAATAATATTTCGATTCACCTATTTTGAAGCAGCACTATATGTAGTATATAAACTGAGGCTAATCACTGGGTTGTTGGCATGATTAACACAGTGAGGTAGCTGCTGTCCAAACAAAGAAGACAGCAAGGAACAAAGCCTTCCACCAACAGAGCTGAGCAGACACAAATGAAGACATCTTGAGTTGAGAGTTGGAATACTGTTAAGTTTCACTCCAATGTCCACTGTTAACCGCTGGGGTTAAATACTGTCCTATTAGGAACTTTCTGCCCCTGACCTACATTTGAGCTCAGCCTCAAGCTAATATTACTGTAACTATTAGCTAACTTTAGCTGATAGAATCAGAAAGTCTTCACCCTCACACGACTTAAAGTTTACTGAAATGTATTCTTGAACAGTACAAACGACAGAATGAAGGGCAACCCCAACTAACCTCTGTTTACCAACTTTCATAATGATGGACATTTTACACAACGTTACCTTTTCAAGCTAACATAAATCTGCACCCGTCACTAAGGTTAGCACACTTATTTTGTAGAAAAACGACTCTCTTTCTGCAAATACCGTCATCTTACCCTGAAAAGACCTTTTACTGTCGTTAATAAAAATGTTTGGGTCGGTTAAACCACCATCGGCTGTACATTCATATCAAACTGCTACAATATATGAATAAAAGTAGCCCATAAGGAGAAAAGTGCTGTCTGTAAGTCAGGGATGCTAATGTGTAACCGGCCTGACATTCATAAAAAGGATATTACAGTGAGCTGTGTATGAATTGGTTGACTTACTTGTTTGCGTATTGTTAGCTATATGTCCTCCTGTTGTTTACAACTGTAATGTCGCGCCAAGACTTCACTGCACAGGAAGTAACGACATTTTCCCGCGGTCTGTTGCTCTCGCACCTCCTCGGTTGCAAAAAATACTCCACAAACAGGACTCCGACCCTAAAGGAGACCTACTGTTCCGCGACTTACTGTCTCCTCCAGCGGTTCATATTCTACCACAGCCAAACGGCGCAAACACAAGCGTTAAATAGAAGCAGATGCGGCCGTTAGCACGAGCGAAAGTTGCTCCGCTCGCGGGGAGAGTTGCACTGTGCCGGGCGGCGTCACTGCCCGTTCGCGTCATCACACCGCGACGCGCTCCAACCCCGACCCGGAAGGATTTGTGCTTCGCTCACATGTGGACAGGATTTTAACACCAGTGACGGGAACGTGCTTGTGTGTTGTGATACAGCCTCAGACAGGCGAGTGCGTGATGAACCTCGCAGTTTGCTTTAATAACGGTTAATCAGCATACCTGTTCTTAGACCGCGCGAGTGTGTTTCCGTTGTAGATCGCCCCTCCAGAGGCGACAAATGATACGATGGAAAATTTAGAATTGAGCCTGTCATCACTGGGCACCATATCCAGACATGTTGACAAAAGTCACAACGAACTGAGCCAATATCTGTCCAAACAGGTAAGATATGTTGATTCCTGGCTTGTATGGAACACTTTAATGTGTTTGGAGTGATTTATTTCCACACTGTGACTCAAAACGTGTCCTGTGTGCAGCATGCAGTGACATTCCCTTCACATGTCAGTAATCACTGTACAAATGACATCATTTTAGTGCATATTGTGTCAGTAAAATTCTTCTGCTGCCTTGCTAATCCCTAGGATGTTAATATATTGAAGAAACATTGATTTCTGTGTGGCTTTTATGTCAATCAGTCCATATTTCAGTTGGGACCTTCCTGCCATATGATCTCTCCTCAGATATGGAGCCAGCAGGACAGGCAGTGTATTCTGGAGTGTTTGGCCCAGCTGCTGCTGGAGAAGGACTACACTTTGCTGATTGCTCGACACCTGCGACCTCTGGTCCTGGACCTGTTGGAGCGCAATGCAGAGAGGGTCAAAGCTGGTGGCAAGATCAACCATGACCTCCACGAGCGCCTGTGTGTGGCCCTCAGCAAACTCCTCGGCATCAGTCCTGATGCACAGGCGTAAGTGGACTCTTATTCTCTTGACAGTGAGCGTGGGAAATGTCCCCTTTCTTCACCTTAGCCTGTGCCCCCTCCTATCAGTTCTCAGTTTGTACACCCACAATTCCTTTTCTTGCCTCTTCTCTCCTCACACCTGAGTCCCTCCCACCTGAGGTGCAAGTGGAGGAGGTGAGGAAAGAGTCGAGGCAACAGGTTTTTTAACAAAATGAGACGTCCTTGCTTCACGCCTCTTATACGCCATGTGCTGAAAAGAATTCTGCGAAGGTGCACCTGTGCACCTCCAGCAAGCCTCCTCTATCCTCAAGATGTTTATTCGGTATTGAGACGTCCTTGGTTTCTGGGTCATAGGCGGGATGACGAGGAGACGAGTTAGTAAAAATTATAAAAATGAGTAGACAAAGCCAGGCTAGCTGTGTCTCCCTGTTTTCGGTTTTTATGTTAAACTAGGCTAATTATGTCTTGACTCCAGCCTTGGACATGAGATCAATATCTATGTTCTCATATACCTCTCAGAAAGAAAATGTTGAACTACTCCTTTTAACTTATAACTCAGGACCCTTGTCTGCTCAGTTGATGTCATGATTTTGTTACTTGAGGGTCGGAGGTCTTGCTGCAGTTGCACTTTGCCCAGATGGTGGTCCAGTCTCGACTGCAGCCACATTAAGTGTACAAAGCTGCAGTAGGGTAGCTATTATAGTATACCATTAGTAGTCCAAAAATTCTACAGCATAGAATCTGTGGTATGAAAGACTTTTAATTTCTGCAAAAAAGAACAAAAAATATATAGTTTCTCCTTTGTGCTTGTAAGGGGAGGGTGTAGCGAGAGAGTTCCTCAAGGTCTTGGTGTCTGAATGTGGTATTTTGGAGGAATACTTGACAATTTGGATCTCTCTTTTTTTGTGAACAACCCAACAACTGCTGCAACAGCATATGAGATATAATGGAGCATGGAATGGCCATCATACTTCTATCATAATGTTCCAATCCCTTATACACGCTAAACTTTAAATATTTGCATAGGTGATGAGAGTGTGCTGAGCTGTATCTTTAAAGAATCTTAAAGTTTACAGTTTTCAGATGTATACCACTTCTATGTGGCATATACTTTATACCTGCCATCTCCCCCTAAAGATCCCGCTAAAAAAGACAAATATTATTGTACTACTAATACTGTTGTACTAATAATACTATTGTAGTGAGGGTTGGAGTGGAAGAGGTTAAAGGGTTAGTGATTTAGTATTGCTCTTTCACTAAGTTGAGGGACTTGCGAGAGACAGTTAAAAAGGAAAGAATGGTCTAGGTTGGTAAAAAAGAAGCTGAAATAGCCTAACTTTAATTCCTGGTATTTGTCCAAAAATCCTGGGTGGTCTTGCACTCAAACAGACGCCGAGGCAGGAACCAAAGCCAGCATCTCTGCAGGATACATTCCACCCTGACTCACTTTCTCCTTCTCTCCATAAGGTTTGCTGCAAGGTACTTCAACGATGCCCCCCCAGTGTATCAGAGGCTCTTCTTCACCAGTGAAGAGTCATCGGCTGTTCAGTATGGCCCCAGGAGGATGAAGCTGCGGGACCTCATGGGAGCCACCCTACGTTTTCTCCAGAGTGACTGTGCAAAGTTTCGAATTCTCTGGGACTGGAGTCCCTGCGTCTCACAGCTGCTCACCAGCGACGTCATGGTGCGAGGGTACGTACCGGCTTCCTCTTTAGACTCACAGAGGCTTTATGGGCCATGCAGGGTAACCGATCCTTAACCACATGGTGGCTTCATTGGTGTGTAATTAGTAATATTACTGCTAAATTTCTAAAAGTTAAAAAGAAAAAGGCAATGAAGCGAGGGAGTTGCAATTTGCAATCTTACTGCTTGATGCCATTAAATCCTATATGGTGTTCCTTTAACCATAAATTTTTGTTTGCATCTAGTTTCGCTTGTTTACAGTCAGCTACATACAGTATGTGTGAGATTTATACGGTGTTACCGTAATGAAATAATGCCAGGTGTTCCTGTTTTTCCAACACTGCATTAATGCAGCAAAAGACGATTTAAGCACAGCTAACCTGAAGGGTAGCGACGTTAATGTGTAGCAGTATAATTTCATGTAGTAATGCTAGTTTGAGCCCAGTTTGGCAGTGTACATGTTTGAAGGACAATATGTTGTTGGATGGCTAACCAGACTCAATCCACTGTTTGTCAGTTCCGATCTGATTCCACTAAGTGAGTTTGGATATCTGCTGATACTGGTGCTACTTAATTAAACTGGTAATATTGTACGATGCAGCCCAAATTCCACACCTCATAATGTTGGCTTTATACACATAACAAGTTGGTGTCTAACTTATTACTGTGTTTCAAGACTAAAATATCTCCAATCTAAGGACGTGTTGAGTCGTGTGACGTTACGGCACGAAAAACACAGGGACTACTGGATATCTTTGTAAAACTGTTTAATTACCAATTCAGTCATTTGTGCTACAACATTTTGCCTATGGGCTTAAAATCGCCTTATTATATACTTACACTAGTCTGATATCTGATATGTGAATTAGGGCAGTATTGGCCCCTGATGCTGAAATTGGATCAGAACAGTTTTAACCTGCCAGAAGCTAAAATTATTAAGAAAAAACACAAAACTGACAACTAAGTCATCTTTTCAACATTTCCTACCAGCTGTTTACAACTATAGTATGTCAAATGGAAACAAGCACAGCTCAGTGTGGAAACTGACATGGACATTTTTTTTATGTCTGTTTGGGATTAGTGCAAAATATCCCTTCAGACTCCAATGGGAGACTTCAAATGTGTTCATAGTTTCCTGCAGTTTATAGTTAAGACCCTCTGTTCTTCTCTTCCCACATTTGTCTTCACAGCTTTTTTACACAGTTTTGCTTTCTGCATGCTTGCCAAACAAATGAAATATACTGTATTATTCTCCCATTGTCTCTACCAGGTACACTGCCCATTGTTTAGCGCTGGTCTCTCATATGACTGATAATCAGAAAGCCATCTTTCTGAGAAAGGTGCTCACAAGTGATGAGATCCTGCACATGAAAATTAAGTATGTACCTTTTTTTTTTTTTTATCTATTGTCATATATAGGATTGAGTATTATGGGAAATTGTTAGTTTCAGTACTACTCTTGAAACCTGTCTCTAAGCACATTTTCACTATATTTAATTATACATACCACTGTTTACTGTATATATTCTCTTTAACATTTCTGTTCATAGAATGAATGATGTGTTCATAAACTTGAAGTTGTTTTCAAACCTGTGTGTCATGTCTTTTTTCTTCGTTCCTTGTTTAGAGCTTTGGAAGAAACTCAGCAGCTGGAGGTGGAGAAAGCCCTGGTGTTAGCTAATCAGGGCTCTGTGATGTGGCGGCAGGAAAAAACTAATAAGTTCACCAGGGGCCAGGTGGTATCAGAGGACCTGTCCCAGAATGTGGTGGCAGTCTGTGGTGTTGTCCTACCCAGGATAGTTCCCAGACAGGCTGAACAGGTATGTACCCTTCGGTTTGTCACATAAAATAGTCTCTGCTGTTGATCCTTTTGGTCCTAATGTTTTCTCTGTTTGCAGATGAACCAAAAAGATCTGGTGCTGGTAGACTCAACCTGCCGTAATCTTAGAAGGCTGGCACTGGCTGTGGCTTCCCAGAAGCCAGTGCTGCTTGAGGGTCCTATCGGATGTGGTAAAACTGCACTGGTAGAGTTTATGGCTGCTGTGACAGGACACACAAAAGCTACAGATATCCTCAAGGTCCAGCTCGGGGATCAAACTGACAGCAAGGTGAGAGAGCATGGACTCTAAACTCCACCAATTTTCACATAATGTCTTCTGTGGTTTTGGAGGGAGCTTTCCAATAATTCAAAAATAACCCTGATGATGTCATAAGGATTTTATCAAGGTTAGCTCTGCTCGGGCTGTAAGCTTAACATTTTAATGTAAACCTTCCTGTGGGTTAAATTAAAGACACTATGGAGTTGCAGTTTGAGAATTGTAAGAACCACTGGTTTTGTAGCTTGGCCCATACTAGGGACTAAAAGCCTCCTTTATCTTGCTTAGATATGCTACGTGCTAGGCTCGTCGGGGTCATCCCTATGTTCCCCGGGTCCTATGTTCCCTGCTAAGGTTAGGGTTAGGGTTAGGGTTAGGGTTATCCCCGGCCCAATACAAAGCGGGGAACATAGGTATGCTCCTGGCTCGTCCGTGTTGATAAGACAGCACATAACTATGTAACTAGCTAGGTAATGATTGGTGTACTTAGCTATCTGTTAGCTAGTGTTTTTGCAAACATTAGATTAGCCTGTATTTTTCTTTAGCGAAAACACTAGCTAACTAGCTAGCTAACGATGCAGATTAGCTGGCTGGTTAGCTACCATTTTGCTACATTTGATAACTAACTTAAGATGTGAAATCACATCTTAATGAATGTCGCTTTTATTTTTTAACCATCTTCAAAATGTGTCTTTTCAACATAGATTAGCCTAGCACATAGCATATCTAAGTACAGGACAGGAGGAAGTTGGCAACTGTAGGTGTAGGAAGGGTAAGTTAAGTTTTTTTCTGTCCCCTGTGAGTCGCTCAACTTTATGGAAGTGCAGTACTAAATCAGTGGAGTGCCCCTTTGACATTCATGGGAGGTAAGATAGAAGGCTGAGAAATGTGTGAATGTGTTTTGTTTGTTTTACAGATGCTGCTAGGGATGTACCGTTGTACTGACATACCTGGGAAGTTTGTGTGGCAGCCAGGAACGCTGACACAAGCTGTATCTAAAGGCCAGTGGATCCTCTTGGAAGACATTGACCATGCTCCTCTGGATGTGGTGAGTTTCTGAACCTGTTGAGAACTGTGTAGAATAAGACCTTTTGTAATTTTCAGTTCCAACACATACTCAATATAACATGGGCTTGCACCATATAACCAATAAACAGGTGATTTTTAGTACTAAGCCTTCTGAATATTACCTGTTTAATGTGAATATATCATGTCCATAAACCACGACTGGACTTTTTCTTTTAGATATCTGTGCTCCTGCCTCTGATGGAGAACAAAAAGCTGATGATTCCAGGACGGGAGGACTGTATTGATGTTGCTCCTGGATTTCAGTTCTTTGCAACCCGAAGGTAATAATATCATTACATTCTAAACATACTTCTGCTTGGCTGCTCTAGTTTAGAGTGTTTGTATGCACTTGAGGGATGTTATTGATACCAGCTATTGTTGGTAACCTGATTATCTTTATATATTTATATATATCTTTTAGCGTGTATATTATCGTGTGTCCTCACAGTCCGTCAGTCTGTCAACATGCACATCCCGCTTATAAATACCACAGGATAGCCCGTGTTCAGCCTCTATGATGCATTGTTAAGCTCTCAGCGAGTTTCAAACAGTCTAAGCTGAACAGCAATTACTTGGAATACTACTGGAGGTTTAGGATAAGAATTATGAAAAGGTCCTTGCATGGGGCCCAATGTGACAGGACGAGGACTCACAGCTGTACACACAAACAGTGACAGAGGCAATTGTGTGATCAATGAAAACGGCGAACTTGAGAAAGTAGGTCATATCAGGTCGACTTTACCTGGCCAGATTGTCTGTTATTGAAAGGTACAAAAGCTGTCAGACACATAGTATGCTTGTGTACCTCAGGATATACTACAGCGGTGGCAGTTGGCACAAACCACAGAACTCTCATGCAGCACTGCTGGACAAGTACTGGACCAAGCTGCAAATGGGCAACATGGCACGAGAAGAGCTGAAGAAGGTGAGTGTTGTTGACCTGTTAGGGCGGGACTACTTACCTTGTCTTCATTCATTCTTTCAGTACATAGAACTTGATGACACCATGTTATTCCCTGCAGAGCTCCACCCAGCTTCACCCAGACTCAAAGTCTTATCAGAGTCACTGAAACACCTGTGTGGCTGTGCATTTAATATTGTTGTCAATACTTTTTTTTACTTACTTTTAAATACTTTATTTTCTCTGTAAAAATATAACTACACTAATTATGTTCTTAACCTGTATTATTAGCATACCCTCTGTCTGTGTGTGTAGGTGCTCATCAGCAGGTATCCTAGGCTGACAGTGGTGTCAGATCGTCTCCTGGATATCTACTGCCAGCTGACTGGGGAGAGACACTCTGACCTAGACCCGAACAGTCCCCAAACCCCTGACGGTAGTCAGCAGCACACGTCTGAGGACAAAAGCACACCGCTGGAGGGGAGAGCCCTGTCACTGAGGTGAGGCCCAGCTCCCTGCTGTTTCTACTCTCACTTTACTTCCTTTGTCTGCTGTTTTCATTAAATACATTGATGTTTTATACTGAGATAGATTTCAGGATGACGACAAAATCTAGATAGACGACTTTTGTGTGAATTTTATTCATGACAAAAACAAAAGCTGCAGACTATTATTCTTATTGTGATCAGTTTAGCATGAGTCTAGCATGAGTCTAGTATGAGCCAGCAAACACACGGATGCAGTCTGGCTGCCAATATTCCAGTGACACATAAATGGAATTTGATATTAACATTAATCAAACCTTGTGTTGCTGTCAGACAGAAATTTGTTGCTACATTTTCAGTTTTGTATACTTACTTTTTTCTATTCATTCTTTCCTATTGAGAAATATCTGCTTTAACATTAAATGCAATAGGAGTGAGTGCAGAAGAATGGTAGTTTAGATTTCAGTTTAATGAGAGACTCCATACTATTAGACTTCTTTTTTTGCAGCCAATGGAGCTGCCCTCCTGCTGGTCATAACATAGAATGCAGGTTTAAGTATCGGCTTCACTTCACAGACCTGAAATCTCTGTCCATTATAATAGCAATAGGGGATTAATAAAGTATATATCTTATCTTGTCTCTCTCATTAATTATATGCTGTCAATGACTGTCACTGTCTAACAAAGTCAAAAGTTTTAATCATAATAGAGAATATGCTGTTTGGATTATGGTTATAAGGCATGGGTGTGGGATTTGTACTAAAACATTATCAAGGTTCACTGAAGACTTGGTTATGTGCAGCTGAACAGCTGACTATACATATATCTTAGAAAGACCAAGGTGTGAGTTTAGGTTCACTCAGCACCATCCATTACAGCAATGGTTCTCAAACTGGGGAGCATTCCTTTTCATTTCAAGTTTATTTGATATGGACAGATATAGGGGCCTTTAAAATAACACACATAAAACATGTGAAAAGACAGCACTGTTAAACTGTGTGATGCAGTATGTTGGCTGTTGCAGGAACAGCAGTATGACTTCCTGTCATATTCATACAGTACACATACATATTCATACACATACATACATACTCATCAGTCTGAACTTGGGACAGATTTGCGACTTACTTGTAACTTGCAATGACAATGACTTGGTCCCAGCTCTGCAGGGACATGCAGGGACATGTGCCGTTTACACGATCTTGATATAACAACCATTTGTCACATGGTGTCTGGCCTCTCTGCTCCCAAACAGCTGGCCTTTTCCCTGACAGTCATCATCAGTGGGGGGCAGACATACAATGCTTCAGCCCCCCTTTTAGCCTTACATCCGTCAGAATCCCCCGAAATCAAAACTACCAGCCAGTCTGCAGCAGCAGCAACCCCGACTTTAATTAGCTTTCCACTAGCTACTGCTGCGTTCGATTAGGTTATTGAGTGGACTGTCCTCTGTGTGAGGGGGCTGGGATCACAGATTCTGCAGGTCGTGCCGGGGCATTCTCATTAGGTAACAGGTTTATAAATGCCTCCTCGCTTAGAGACATTACTTATTTGCCCTGGTGCTTTTTTTTAAGTTTCCAGATGCTTTTACTGTGGTCCATACAAGGTGTTAGTGAAGAACCAGCCATTAATCAATGTGTCTGCATTTTCCATGCTCTGCACTTCAATAGTACATATGCTTTTCATGGATCGATGTAATTAACTTTATAGCTCGGCCTGTGATGCACATATGTGTTGGACTAGGTCATTAGGGTTTATGGTATTGAAAAAGATACATTTTACTTAGGTCCATGTTTTTTGATGTTAACTTACTGTTTCACCTTTCACTATTTAATACTTTAAGCCTGTGGGCCGAAATGATACTTCCATACCAAGTCGATACAAAATTTTGAAAACCTGGTGGTACTCGTTTTTCTACAGTACTGTATTGGATCAGGACTCAGTATCAGCAGATATTAAATGGGGATCAGGGGCATAAACTTGATTATAGTATCTGTGGGGAGCATAACAGATCCACCGGATGCCCACACTGTAGGGGATCCGGTGGCTCTGTAATGCTGTGTAACTGCTGAGTAATATAGTTTGGGTTTGTCCCCTTAAAGGGAAGAGAACTGCACTCTCCACCTCCATCATCAAAACACCAAATGAGGGAATATCTTTTGGAAGAATGGTGTTTATTCCCCTAGTAGAGTTCCAGAGACTGTAGAATCCATGCCAAAGTGGTTTGAAGCTGTTCTGGTAGCACTTTGTGGCCCAAAACCTTACTAACTCATGTTATGTTGTTTTTTCCTTTAATTTGTCACCTGTTTGTGTATTCTTTTAACAATATGACAATAACCAAAAACAAGGGAAATGGTAAATTATATACATTTTATGTTTCCATATTTTGAAAGTAAAGGTTTCCACACACTTAGATCCATGCATCTGTCCTTCATCAGAGCATTCCACACCATGTACTCTGGTAAAGGTCAGATAGACTGACTCCTGCATGTTTCCATATTTTGAAACTTGTTCAGAGAAAGCATTTAAAACTGAAATCATCATTCAGTCCAGCAGGTGTCATTATATTAAGCATTGAAATCGAGAAAATATTTTTTATTAATACTGATTGTAGCTGAGTGTGTCTCACTCTGCAGCTACCTCATTATCCAGAAATTCCTTACTACTGTCTCATTGTTTCTTAATGTATATTCGTTATGATTCCACAGGGACCTTCTGAAATGGTGTGAGCGGATCAGCGTTAACTTTGACAGCACCTCATCAGCCACAGCACATCATGTCTTCCAAGAGGTTAGTGGGTTTGATTTCTAGTAAACAAGTATAAAGCTGTATATCTTTCCCACACACCTGCCAGAAAATAGTATTTAGTTGTAGGAAGGTAATTATGTATCATGTTAAATCATGATAGAAATACGTGAAGATTCAAATTGGTGAGATGAAAAATGAATTGAGTGATACTCTTTTTAAACAGCGGAGGGCACTATCTCCTTTAGACTTTCCTTGTTTAATTTCCTACGTCAATTTCATCAGTAGCTGTATCAAGCAGCAAAGACATCAGTTTCACTTTTACAAAGAAAAGAATATATACATTGTTTTGCACAGTTTAAACCCTACCTCAAATGACAAAGAAAATATAAGAGAAAATATATTTTGTGGACTTTTGTCTGAGGAATAAAGAACCTTTTTTCATTCATAATTTGTCTTTGTCTAAAAAATTTAATTTGTTAAAACATATCGGGATAAAATCATATTGTAAACCTAATATCATGAATTGTATTGAATCGTGAGTTGAATGTATTAATCCATCCTTATTTAGTTATATTTAGTTCTGTACAGCTTAGTCATCCATCTGGAATTCCCACTTCTAAATTTAAGGCTGTATATTTGCAAGAATCTGTAAAATACGTATAACGATAAAGGGGTTACGATTCTATATATCACGATATATTGTGATACCATAAGCAAGGCAATATATTGCTTTTTCTAATCCAATTTTAGAAAAAACTAATAGTATATAGAACACTCCATTATATGCATCCATTAAGTGATGCCTCTTTGTGGTGTTTTCTTTGTCAGGCTCTTGACTGCTTCACAGCCATGCTGTCTCGTCCTGAAAGTCGACTGCGAATGGCTGAGATTATTGGAAGCAAGCTCAACATCTCCAAAGAGAAGGTATTCAGCAATCCTTTTTTTGTAAAACATTTGAATTTGGATAGCTTATTTATGCAAATCACCCCCTGACAGTATTGATTGATTGAAAAAGTGTTTTTGACTTTAATGTGATGAAAATTTCCGCCCTTTGGAATTTGAGAATTGCTGTAATCACTATTAAAAAACGTCTTCCTCCTTTAACATGATATTCTACATTTTATACAAAAAATCCTGTTGTGGTTTTGATTCCTGGGTGATGTTTGTTTCCAGGCCCAGCATTTCTGCCAGATGTATCAGCCTGGCATTGCGCTGACCGAGCTGGAGGCCTCGGTGGGCAGAGTGACTTTGGGTCGAAAGCAGACTGAAGCGGTGCAGCTGAGTGTGTAAGTGGGACATCCTGCCCACCCGCCCCCTTTGTCCTCTGTTTACACCACATATGCATCAGCTAGTTGCTGTGCCAATCTTCACCTACTGATAGAAACAAATAGACCCCCTGCTGTTAAATTGAATAAACATCGAATTGATTTCAAAGTACATTATTGTAAACAAACCCATCTAATGGCTCAGCCATCAGGACATGCCCAAATATTCACATTGATTCTTTCAAAAGCCAATATGAAAGGGTGTCAGACTAAAAACTAATTAAGTGTGACTTTTTGTAGCAGTGTGCCAAAACTGAGATTAGTGTGTGCAGTATGCCATGAGGGCATAACACCATCGAAAGTAATCTGATGGTGTAACTAAAAGGCACACTGATGTTTGATCTTTTAGATATTTTAAACTTTTATAGGTCACTGTCTTGATTCATTCTAATCTAATAAAGTGATTGAAAGGGAGTGATGTAACTTAAAAAACTTCTTTCTTTCTTCTTCTTCTTCTTTCTTTTAAAAATGGAAAGTTGAAAGTCTTAAGTATATATATTTTTTGGCTTTTATTGCCTTTATGATAGTGACAGTTGAAGCCAGACAGGAAAGGGGGGCAGAGAGAGGGTATGACACGCAGCAAAGGGTCGCAGGTCTGATTCGAACTCTCGGCCGCTGCAGCCGGGCGCCCCAAGTGTTACTCATTTTAACACACCCTGTGGTGTGTTACAGCCTCACTTGGTCTGCTATGAAAAGTAGCTTATAGTGGCTAATGTTAGCTAATTGCAGCTAAATGTCCAGCAGACACTACAAACCACACCCCCTACAAACCACGCCCATTATCATAATTTGTTCGTGCTGAAGGCAGTTGAGCAGCTACAGAGTCCAAAACACACCCACTTGTACAGGACGTTATGGTGGCTGAGGAGAATAGACCATAGCAGATCAAAAATTTAAAATGAAAGGTATAATAAAGGTAGCAATTTGACCACTATTAAGCAAAGAAATAAGGGTAACCAATTTGTTTGTTAATGTTTTGATGTTAAATATTTAATAGGATTTAAAAACAGTATTTTAAGCTTCAAGTTCAAACTTGTTTAAATAATAAGTGTTTTTAATAATAAGTACTATGAGACTATGACACCAGTATCTACATACAAAGAATACAACAGAATGTGCAATCAGTAGATGTGTTTTTTATTACCATGAACAGGGACAACCAGACATTTGCTGCCACACGTCCCTCTGCTGTGCTGTTGGAACAGCTGGCAGTGTGTATATCCAAAGGGGAGCCTGTTCTTCTGGTGGGAGAGACAGGAACTGGAAAGACCTCCACTGTACAACACCTGGCCAGAGTCACAGGTGAGCTCAGGAACCTAGTCGGGCTGTGGCTCAGCAGGTAGAGCTGCTTGTCCACTTGTTGGTGGTTTGATCTATATATATATATATAAAGATTCTCTATTGTGTGTTCAATCCAGGACACAGGTTACGGGTTGTGAACATGAACCAGCAGAGTGACACTGCCGACCTGCTTGGAGGGTGAGTGCACACAAATTGTACCTAAATAACATAAACATAAAATTTTCCGTCACAAATTTCATGTCTCTAATATGAAATACTATCTGTCATTTCTGTTTATTAAAACCTTTTTGTGCTGCAACTGAGGGCAAAATCTAACCAAACACGGCATCATGTTAAAAAACTAGAATTATTGAGAATTATTGAAAACAGCTGTTGAATTGACAAGCAATCCACAAATGACATCCTTTTAGTCAGGGTCTCTGGTTTTGGATGAGCAACATTCAACTCTGCACTTACTATAATGGAGTCTAATGCAAAAGGATCATTCCCTGTCTACACACTACAGCAACAAAGCAATGAGCATGTAAGATTATTATCTGCAATAAAATCTTATCTCTCATGGGTAGTGCATTCAAGCACCTCAGTTTTACGCCGCTCTACTAATTAACTTTCATTCAACATTTTTTGCTCTAGGTCTCAAAAATACAATTGTTTTTAAGATGAGAATGTAAACATAACTGTGTGTTTAGCAGAAACTAGATATTATGTTTCTCCTGAATTACAGAATACTCCCAAAGAAGTGCAGAGTGGTTCTGTATCATTAGCTATGTTTACATGGACCCTAATATTCCCATTATAATCAGTTTTAACTCTCTGTGGAGAGTTTGTGTTTGATACAAACTCTTAAACAACTGAACATCATTGAATGCCTAGACAGTAGGGAAATAAGAATGACCTATTCAAAAGTCCATGAAAAAAGTGTAAAAAAATTAAAAACTGCTGAAAAAATTTGAAGACTATTATAAGGCTAAATCCCAAAACAATAAAAGTGGATCTGACCATCAACTTACACAGTTGTTCTGATTAAATGCGTCGGCACAAGTAAACACCAGACCTTTTGTTATGGAGCAAATGGTTTAGAATTTTCTGTCTCATACAGGTACAAGCCAGTAGACCACAAGCAGATCTTGCTCCCCCTGCGGGAGGCCTTTGAGGACCTGTTCTCCCAGACATACTCCAGGAAGCAGAACCTGACCTTCCTAGGTCATGTGCAGACCTGTTTTAGGGGCAAGCGCTGGCAGGATCTGCTCAAGCTCATGGACCACGTCTGCAAGTCTGCCCTCACCAAGGAGCTGCAGGAGAAGTCAAATGGTAGTGCACTAAAGAGAGTAACCAATGATAACAGTTAATAATACTGACTCCTGTAGCACAGTAAAATATTTCTTGTGTACTTGTGCAGCTGCCTTCCTGCAGGAGCAGTGGGAGGCGTTGGCCACCAAGCTGAGCCAGACCCAGCAGCAGATCCGAACCTGTGAGACAGCCATGGTCTTCGCCTTTGTGGAGGTAAAGAAACAATATCTTGTTGAAGGGCACCCTGGATGCCTAAAGAGTTTGTGACCTGAGCTTTATTCCTGTATAGCCTTGGTGAAGCAGCTCTCACCTCTGTGTGTTCCTCTGCAGGGGACATTAGCTCAGGCAGTAAAGAAGGGCCACTGGATCCTGCTGGATGAGATCAACCTGGCAGCAGCAGAGACCCTGGAGTGTTTGAGTGGACTGCTGGAAGGCAACGCTGGATCTTTGGTGCTGCTGGACCGTGGGGACACTGGTGAGGACTTCAATCACCCATGCTGTAGGGTTGGGGTTTGATAGCATTTTTAAAAATCTGAAACCAGTATCTTGTCTGTTTATCAAATCTAAATCCTTTTAAATCCCTGATTGAATACATTTGAATTCCACTTTCAGAAGATAACAATAATAATAAGTGTATAGGTTGAGTCGAGCTTTTTGCTTTTTGTTGGTAGAAACATTTTTTAGTGGCAGTCTAAATAGTGTTCACAACCAGCACCAAAGCACTAAATCAAGAGGCTACAACTAGTTCTGCTAAACTTCTAAGTATGCTGGCTTAATGTGACATGCACAAATTTGTCCAGATTTTTATCATTAACAAATATATTTGTTCTTTTTTAAAAATATTCCTTACAATATTAATATTGTTGTGTTTTTTTTAATCATAGAGCCGCTCGTACGCAACCCAGACTTCCGACTCTTCGCCTGCATGAACCCAGCTACTGATGTGGGCAAGAGAAACCTGCCTCTGGGCCTCAGGAACAGGTGAGAGTGTGTAGAAGTGAAGGAAAACTGAAAGTCTCAATAACGTCACGCTAGACTGAGCTACTATTTTATTACTATTACTATTACTGTTTTATTTAAAAAAAATAATATACATGAAATTTAAAAATGACAATTTAAAGAGGTAAAAACCTCAACACAGCAATAATGCATGTCTCCATTCATTAGATACATCCATACAAAATTGAATTCTAAAATGATTGTTCCATTTGTAAACCTGCTCTGTGTGTGTGTGTGTGTGTGTGTGTGTCCCAGGTTTACTGAGCTGTATGTGGAGGAGCTGGAGAATGAGGGAGACCTGCGGATTTTGGTTTCAGATTACCTCAAGTTCTTGAATCCACACAGGAATGTCATCAGTGGCATCATAAGGTTAGCCTTTACATAATGTTGCAGCAGTAAAAACAAGTCAATGTTCTTAACAGCGCTCAAAGCCACTGTGCCCTCAGAAGTCTTTGTAAGTTACACTGAAGTTAAGTTATATTTCAGTATGCAAGTTATACTGAATATCTACCTTATTTGTGCAACTTGTTGAGATCATGGAGACTTGTTGAGAGGCACTACACAGGCTACAAAAAGTAATGGGTTTAAACATGAAATAGTGACTGGGGCCTTTTGAGTGCACCAGGGCTTTATTTGAAGCAGGCTTATGTTAGAGACAGGCCTTTATTTCGAGTTCCTTGGAATTGATTTGAAGTATATTTGTTCATATTTTAGTACAAAGCCTTGTTTTCTGATATGCTTCCACTTGCCCTGTTACATTTCTGTTAAAACCCACACCCAACCCAACACTTTCTGTATCTTTTTCAAATTAAAAGCCCTCTAGTGTGTCAGTGAATAGAATCCCTTAATTTTTCAACAAGGCTTTTATTGTGAAATATTTGCAGCAGCATGTTGTGAATTGCACTTCTCCATTTCGGTACTTCAAATGTAGCTATTGCCATCTTGTAGCACTTGTACGTTACTCAAAATTACAGTTTGGCTGAGATATTACCACACCCACTGTAAAAATCGTACAATAACAATTTAGATGAATCCATAACAATTTGTAAAATTAAAGCAATGGAAATGTACATTATCTAACAGGCACCTGGAGTTTATCCCTTCTTTTTGTTTTGTCCCGGTCTCTATTTGTATGCCCAGCCATTATCCAAGACCAGGCTTTTATTTGACTACTGGATTTTGTTTGAGGAAATATAATAATCTGTATTTGTATTTATAGTAGATAGTAGAATTGAATCAAGTTGAATTGAAAATTAAATACAGGACAGAAAAGCACAGGGCTCTTTTTAATAAAGCTGTTAATACAACATTATCTGTCGTAAGATATTAGGCTTTATTATTGAAACTAAACAGGATTTCAAGTAGGGTTAGTACAGATATTTGCATAGCATTTCTGTCTCTTAGTAGGCTCTTAATGTACCTGTGACAATTGTGTTTGTGTGCAGTTTTTACCTAGCAGTACGAAAGGAGGCCAACTCACATCTGGTGGATGGAACAGGCCACAGACCCCACTACAGCTTGCGTACTCTGTGCAGGGCACTGAAGTACGTGGCAGCAAACCCCTGCCACAGCGTGCAGCGCTCTCTCTACGAGGTAAGAGGCTCTTTAAAAGGTCAGTTTGCTAAAATCCAAAAAAAAGAACATTTTCTTATTTACCACGAGGGATATTGAGACATGCCAGTAGTTTTGGTTCAGTGCCACCTTTTTTGCGGTATGGCTTTTGTAGTGTGACTTATTTTGACTTGCTGAAATTATTTCCATCCACATCACCTGCATGTATTCCAAGCTGACAAGTCTCTCCGATTCATCGTTGCAGGGTTTCTGCCTGAGCTTTCTGACTCAGCTGGACAGAAGTTCCCACCCTCTGGTCCAGAAACTGGTGTGTCAGCACATTCTGATGGGCAACGTAAAGTGTCTCAAACAAGTAAGATATTCTGAGAGCTAGTTCCTTGCTTTTAAAGTGCTGTGTTTTTACAGTTAATTTTGTATGTGTGCCAATGGATGTGTGGATATTTTTCATTTGAGCTGTAAAAATATCTTACTTTCAAAAACCGCAACAGTTGTTAGTCCCCAGAATCTTTATTAATCTCTAACAGGACTTTAATTCTAATTTCACCTGTCACCTATATTCAATTCAATTCAGTTCAAT